CATGATCAACCCAACTTTAGGAATGTATGTTCTGTGAAAAAATGGACTAGGGGAGAAGCCTCTACCTTCATCAATGCCTGTGGATTTATTTATCCTGCTACATTTGGAAACTAAGAAGTCACTGAAAAAGTATACCCTTTGTTGTCTTTATAAACATTGTTACAAACTGACATCTAAGTCTTAAAACACCATCCATATGTTGACACAAATTTCCAAAGGTAATAAACATCATGTTTTCATTCATCTTTTAAAGTTTAAAAAAGTTTTTCGATATTAAGCCTAAAGTCTCAATTTCTCCTGAAATTCTATCCAGACATTTCTCACTGCCCACTTCAATGGTACATAAATTTAAAACTCATCAGTTTGTGTAGTAAAAAAAAACCCATCTATTGAGTTACTCCAGTTGGAAGGCATTATGGTAGGGATACAAATGTGAAGATACAGTTGATGACCCCATTAAGAGATCCCTTGACTTCCCTATTTTTATCCTATCATCACTTAGGCAAGAAATCTTGGCATCAGCTTTTATCTCATTCTCATTATCCAAAACCAAATTTTTTCTGTTATTACTCTTAATTCAGAAACTCATATTCCTGCCATCACCCCATCCAATATGTATTATGCACCATTTACTAAGCACAGTGCCAAGTGCCACACATACATTATTTCACTAAATTTTCACAATGACCCTAAAATTATTATTTGTCAATTTTATTGATGGGGAAACTGGCTTAGAGAGATTAAGTAATTCATGCATACAGAGTCAGTAAGAGATAAAGCTACATCTAAGATCAGAAGCCACATTTTTAACCACTGCCACAGTTTATCCAGTCCCGATTTTCTCAGAATTTTTCCAATTGATTGTTTACACTACAATTTCTGGAAAACTTCTTTTTTATGTCTTAGGAAGTAGAGCATGCAATTGATGTCTCCTTTCTTTCTAAAGGCAGCAGCAAGCGCAAGGGGGATGGCACACACTCACAACAAAATAATACTTAGTAAATGCTAAATACTTGCAACTGATATTAATTTCCTCCCAAACATTTCTAATACTAACTTGCTTCTATCCAGAAAATAAATCCAACTGCCTGTTAGACATGTATACACTTTTTTTTCTTTTCACCCAGGGTCTCTGTACTGAATCCATAGCCCTTTTTACTTTGTACTGTGAAACAAGGTCTCACTAAATTGCTGGATTGCCCAGGCTGGACTTGGACTTGTGATATTCCAGCCTCAGCTTCCCAAAGTGTAACAGGTATGTGCCTCATTACCTGCGCCACTTTCTAGTTTTTACTCCTTACTTTTTAACAGTAACTCTTCACTCAAAATAAATATTAACTTTTAGGCCAGGGATTTAGCTCAGTGGTTCTGCTGCCTGCCTTGCAAGCACAAGGTGTAAAAAAACCCCGGTGTAAAAAAAAAAAAGAAATATTGACATTTAATATTCTAGTCATTCGACAAAAGCTGAATTAAATTAGGTCTCTGCTTTATTTATAGAAATCTATTAGTTTCATAATTTAACTTCCTGTTAAAGATAAAAGCCACTACTCAGATTTTCTTTCTCAAATAAAAAAATTCATTAAACTGGGCGTGGTGGTGCACACCTGTAATCCCAGCACTCAAGAGACTGAGGCTTGAGGATCACTGTGAGTTCTAGACCAGCCTGGGCTACATAATGAGTTTCAGGTCAGTCTCAACTACACAGTAAGACCCAGTCTCAAAAAACCAAAAAACAAACAAACAACAAAAAACAAATAAAAAAACAAATATACAAGATAGATATAAAAATAAACAGGGATACTAATCTAGTTTATCTCTGGTTCAAAGAGTTTAAATTTGAACAATTTTATGATACAAAAATGGGTAAAAGCATCCAAAGCTGGAAAACTGTGTTTTCCTTTGATGTGTCCTTCAATTTTTCTGCAGAATGAAAAGTCTGTAATGATATGACATGAATAAGGTGGTGTTTCCAAAGACATGATGGTTCTTATAGCAAGTTCCAGTTTATTTACTCATTTAACAAATTCTTGAGGAATAAAAATGAAATAATCACTACACTACATCCTAGTAGGAGACAGACTTCAAATAAATCATACAAGGAAATATATAATTACAAGTTACGTAATAAAATGATATAAAGTAGTAAAACACAGGGCATGATGAGACTTATGATTAAGACCCAGGGATTGAAGGTAAGAGAAAATCAAGAGGAGGCTGTTCTGAGAAAGTGCCACTTAAATTGAAAGTTGAAGAATGAGGTGAAGCCAAGTGTGGTGGTAGTACACGTCTATAATCCCAGCACTCTAAAAGGCGGAGGCAGGAGGGTCACAAGTTTGAATCCAGCCTGGGTAACTTAATGAGACTCTATCTTGAAAAAAATTTAAAAAGGGTTGAGGATTTAGCTCAATGTGAATGAGGGCTCTGGGTTCAACAACAATAATAACAAAAATGAGCTAATTGCAGAATAGTTGTGCTACAACAGCCCAGGTAAACAGAACAGTATGTACAAAGGCTCTGAAACAGAAAATACTTCGGTATGACTAAGGATATTAAAAGCTATGTCAGGGGCAAGGGATTTAGGTCAGTGGCGCCACACCTGCCTGGCAAGTGCAGGGTCCTGAGTTCAATCCCTGGGACTGAGACAAAGAAAAAGAAAAAGAAAAAGAAAAAGAAAAAGAAGCTATGTAGCTGGAGGTTAGAGAAAGGAAGATGGTACAAGATGAAGTTAGTAAAGCATGAAAAAGCCAGGTTATGAAGACTCTTCTGGGACACAGAAAGGTCTTTTAATTTTAACTTATATATCTGTGTGTATGTGTGTGTGTGTCTACATATACATATATATATATTTTTTTTTTTCTTTTGGTACCAGGGATCAAACTTAGGACCTTGTGTTTGCAAAGAAAGTGGCAGTGCTACGAGCTAAATCTCCAGCTATATTAAATATAATAAACACTTAGCAATAGAAAATCCACTGAGTTTTTAAGCAAAGAAATGACGTTACTATTGAATGGTGAAGTGACAATAGTTTGGGTTTGGGCAGGAAAAGTGGAAAGGACCTAAAATAAGGTAAGCAGAACAAGGCAAATAAACCAGGCATTATGGTGCATGCCTGTAATCCCAGCTGTTGGTAGGCTGAGGCAGGAGAATCACCACAAGTTCAACACCAGCCTGGGCTACCATAGTGAGTTCAAGGCCAGCCTAAACTAGCAAGACCCTGTCCAAAAAAAAAAAAAAAAAAAAAGAGGAGGGGAATAAGGCAATTAAATGGAAAATTTATTGGAGATGTTCATCTTACCATAACAATTACAGTAACAATGCCTACTTGGCAATTGATGTGTACTATGTACTTATAGCAGTTACTTCATTTATTCAGGTGAAATTTTTGTTATTATTCTCACTTTATAAATAATACTGGGGGCTACAGATTTAAGTCCAGGTAAAAAAGGACTGTAGCTTGCACTAGAAAATTGATAGCGATGATGTAAAAGAACAGAATCAGGACATGTATTGGAAATATAATAGATATGGTATAACTTTGAGAAAGTATGCATACATGAGATGAAGAGGTTAATAATGCCTCTCTCAAGTTCCTATTCTGTGTAACTGAATAAGTAGATATGTTACTTAATGAAGAAGGACACAGGAAGATAAAGAATTTGGGTATGGGAACTAGAGATGTAGCTCAGTGGTAGAGGACTTGTCTAGCATGAGCCAGGCTTTGAGCTCAACCTGGAGAATGATAAAAATAAATAAATTAAATAAATAAATAAATACTTTGGGTACAAAAAAAGATTAAAACTTTTTTAGTTTTACACAAATTTGAAATTGCTAAGAAAAAAATCAAGTTAAGCTGTCAAAAACTATTCGGATATGGAGCTAAAAACAAAGCAAACGGGGTGGAAATAAAAATTCTTGTCATCAATGCATATTTGAAATTTAAAGCTTAGAAAGACTGAAAGAAAAGAGGATACACAACTGAACACAAAGATTCTTTTTACTTTATCAAACAACTCTCATGCTGATTAGTTTTATGCCACTAGGCCTTGCAACACTTTCAATTTTATCTTTCAGCAGAATGTAACACTACACATGACTGCATCTCTTGCAAGAGTCCTTCCCTGTTCAATTAAGCCTCAAGAATCTCTCAATGCTCCATCCTAGGTTTCCTTCTTTTCTAGTACTATACTCTGGGTAATTTCATCCATATTCATGGCTCCAATTATTAACAACATGTCGAAAACATATACACATACAATATATACACAGTACGTATCCAGGTTAGAATTCGCCTGTGATCTCAAACCCAGAACACACAACTGCCTACGTGACAGTCTTTCCTCAGGTATCTCCTCTAGTTAAAGACTTTCGGGCACTACCATTCCTCAAAACAGAAGCACACAGCTGAAATTATGAGAGAAACACTACAAAACCACTACAGGGAAACTTTCCAAAACACAGGACTTTGTCATCAATTATTATTTCCTTTCATGGACCATGACTTAAAAGGGGTTAACCTGACAACCTGATAATGATGGCTAGCAATCAAGCGCACGACAAAAATACAATTCGTGTTTTTTAATGAGATGAAAAAGGGGAGAAACTAAAGATGGTCAAAACAGCAAATAAATATCATGTCCAAGGCCTAATGGATATGCGGCTACAGAATTCACCTGAAAAGCAGCAGGC